TTGTTGAATATACTAGTGGCACCAAGTAGCCATGTTTTCATAGTTATATCAAACCAAGATGATATTCACTGTAACAAATGAAAATGCAGAATATCTGATCTGGGACAATTAAGGTTAATTAGCCTACTAAGAAATTGGGAAAAAAAACCTAGACACACCTAGAGTTTTTAGGCATCTCAGTAAAGGATTGATTGAATCACACAATCAATTACGAGAAACTCTCAAAAAATTATTATTGAATACTTGGATGATTAATAAGTGAAATTATAAAGTTATTTGTAATAATAATCTGATAGAACTAAGAATATTAGTCTTAATACAAATAGAAAATAATATTAATAAAAATAAACTCATAACTCTAATAAGACCTTAAATAATAAACTAAAAATAATCTAACAATAAATAAAATCCTATTACGGCTCTGCGCCATCAATATCAATGTTTAGGAATGAAGATTTTGGTACTTCAGATCAACATCAGACTAGCAGACAAAGATTGGGTGAAAAGTAAAGTTCAACTTTATACTAAGAACAAAATCTCCTAGGAAAAAGAAAAAGATAAACAACAGCAAAAGAAGAGTTATAATATTTTTCACAGAATGATTAGCAGAAATTCCACATTTCTGAAAATTCATGTTTGGCAGGAACTGACTAATGTTTAGCCAAACAAAATTGAAAAGAAACATAAGAGGCAAACAAGGAACAAAATCTAGAGATGTACCTTTTCTCATATTCCAAAGACACGTTGCATGTCAAGATGTAACAATTCTCTGCTCGGCGTTTCATATCAGGATGCCTGGAACCATGATCAAGGACAAGACCTTCAACCTACAGTGCAATAAAAAATGCAGTAAGGTATTATATAATCACATAAAGGAAATCCAAATCATACATCATTAATAATGGAAGTGCTCAGTTCATAATGCCCAAAACGTAGCAGCACTGCAATTTTTGCTAACTATCTAGTTACAGGAAGCAAAGAAATATAAAAACAGGTCACAAGAAAACATGTCCACAGAAAACAAAAAAACAACCAAAAAAAAACACTACGCCTAGAGGTTATTGTGGAGTTATGACGAACTCATTCAATGCTAATCTTCTTGAAAATACAACGTCTATTTGACTAGTAAAATTGTTCAAAAAAATGCATGAGGGAGAAACAAGGAATATTGTATGATACAGTAACTTTAAAAAAAAGAAAGAAAAAAAATACCAGTCTTGTATCTACATCAAATCTATGACGCATGTGCATTATTTCCACCATAAAAAGATCTAGAGCTTCCTGAGGCTTTCGAATGCAAAGGACCTGTCATATCCAAACAGGAGAACAATGTCAAATTATGTTGCTACAGTCAATTATTTGATTGACCAGGCAACCTAATGAAAACTAAAAGCAAGAGAAAGGAGGTAGGCAATATTTATGCAATGAAATTGATGGATGCAACACCATCAGAGGCTCACCGCATTGACAACTATGTCTGTCAATTGATCAGCCAATGCTTCATATAACTGCAAAACAAACAAAACCATACATTTAAAAATTTCATAAGAAAACGAAAAACCAAATATGAAACAACACAAGAATGACAATACCTTTGTCCGTAGTGTTGTTCTGGCCACCATTTTTAGAATCTCTTTATCAGGTTCTTCACCCATTACCACAGGAGTCTTAAACTTCTCAAGGAATTGAAGAGTGGCTTTTTTTGCAATCTCAAAACCATCAACCAATACACGTGGATGCATTCCTACAATAAGAATAAATCTCACACATAGAGGTTTAAACAACATAGAAGAAAACAAGTTTACAATGTCAACATGCTTCTAAATTTCTTATATAACAAATCTTCAAACTGGTAAAAGAATTAAATTTTTTACAAGAAATTTCCTACTTAGCTCCTCTTTCAAACAAAATAACTGGAAATCCAAATGAAGCACACTCCTCTAGCTCCATCTCAACTAATGATAAAAATATCAGTTTAAACCACCAGACCAAACAAGGCCAAAAAGTTTTTGTTTGGTTCTTGTAGTAAAGTGATTTGATTAGTTCAAACTCTTTAGAAACCAGATTTAGTGGTTTGGTCAAAAGTTTAGGGTGTAAACCAAATCAAACCAATCAATTTACACCCACACTTAAATTCATGCAAACTTTAGTTAGATTAGGAACACAACTTATTTAAATCTTACAAAATCGTCTTACTTTAAGCTCAAAGCGTTCTAATCTTAACTTTCCTCACGCCAACATATCTTAGTTAAAAAAGCGCATGATTTTAACCAACCTCTACAACAGAAAATAAACAGATGCAAGATTTGCAAAGCCATAAAGTTTATTGATTTGCACCAGATTAACAAAAGTATCACGCTAACCATTATCATCAACTAACTGCTTAAGCTAACCTTCATCAATGTATCGTTCTGATTGTTTCATTAGCTCGCCAATAAAGATGACAGTAGAAGTTGTGCCATCTCCATTAATCTCATCTTGTGCAACGGCAGTCCTTGCAATCATGATGGCTGTTGGGTTCTGAATTTGCTGCAAAAATGATCAATTGGTAAAGAAATGAGTGTGATTGAAGAATGAAATAGCAACCAGTGCATGGTTCAACAAGCATACGTGAATATCTTAGGGCTGTTTTTTTTTGGCAATATCTATTGCTTCTTCATTTATTTCCATTTTAGATTCTTCATGTTATGATCTCAAAATGAGATTAAAAAAAAAGTATAACATCTAGAACCAGAATTCACTTTATCCAATAAGAAGATAAAAAAAGATATATCACCATTTTGCACTACTTGAGTACAATTTGGATTTCTCTTTTCTAATGCCATCTTACTTTTAGAAATTTAGCTCCCTAAATATCATCACAAACTGCTCCAACCAACGTCACATAAGAAAATGTTAAGTTAACATCTGACCCGAAATGGCACTGAAACTAGTAATGTAATCTTGTACACCCCAAATGAGACTAGAAATATAATCTTGTATAAGTAAAATCCTGCAATTTCTAGAAACTAATGGGTTTTTTATTGAAATATAATGGGAAAATTACCGTTCATACTATAATTATTGTAACAATTACCCCTTTTAATTTTTAAGTGGGACAGTTATTCCCCTTTGTTTTCCATTATAACAACTAGAACCGTCACTCAACTAATTTTATTCCTTTATAAAAGAATTAAGGGTAAGAAAATGTAATTTGAATCATAATTACATTTATTATATTTTCATTTTCTTTTACACTCCTAAAAAAGTAACTAAAATTCTCCCTATTTTTCATTTCTTTTGACAATAATATCACAATTTTTGTTTCAATTTTTTTTACTTTTTACTGCTCATTTTATTTTTAGTTCTTTAAACTTCAAATAAATTTGAATTAGTATCAATAGTACTATTTATATCAGACAAAATAATCAGTTTCAACCAATTTATAAAATCTTAAACATTTTCAAACTAGTATTCTACTCAGCAAATAATTTTATTTTTTTTAAGAAGGAAACGTGTAAAGTACACTTGGAGCCTAGTTTAAATTATATAATATCATTACTAGAGCAGGACAGTGCATACTATTACTGCCGCACCCCTTTATGCAAGTCTATAACATACTTGTTGAAGATGCAAAAATAGAGAGAATATTAACAGTGGAAAAAGATAATATTAGATTTAAACTTTTAAGTAAGAAAAAAAAGAAAATATAATTATTTTAAGTGCAGTTATAAGATTAAAGTTGTGCAAATTCTATTTTTATCCTTAATTTGTTTAAAGTTAAACGGTACTAGTTAAGAGATAATTCTATTTGGTAGAATACAAAGTACAAGGGGTAATAGCCTAAGCAAAAAAACAGTAGAGTATTTGCTGTCCCAAAACAAATAAATAACTAAGTTCCTAAAAAAGAGGAACTCAAGAACTCTAACACGATTTAACCATACTTTTACCATTTAAAAAAGACAACGAACAGACCAGAGGACTCAAAAGTACGGGTAACTAAAAACTTACCATTTCTTTTAAGAGAGTGTTGCCATCCTTGGTAAGTTTGATATCACCAGCTCCACCAACAAGCCTAGAGTACAGAAAACACAGAAATCAGAAGGGGAAGTTCGAGAAAATGAAAATGAAAAAAGCATGAAAAGACAGCAAAAAGGTATGGAGAAGAGATTTTTAACATTTTGATAGTGCCCTTGGGGCCGAGGTTGGTCTTGAGCACATCCTGCAAGCCCTTGGCAGCATTGATGTTCATGTGAAGCGCCGCTGATTTGTTGAGCACTTCTGCATTTGGGTTTAGTACTCGTAGTGACATCTTCAATGGTTTCTAGAGTTCTACGGAGAGGAGGGTGAGCGTGATTGTCTGCAGATTGCAGAGAAAATAAATGCTAGTAGGTGCAAAAAAGAAAGAGAATGAATGTGGAGGGTAATGATTTGAGGCAGTAAGTAGCCTCTGCATCACCCACAACACCCCCCTTTCCGGCCCCCAACCAAAATTTTGCAGCAGCAATCTTTTTACGTCCCTGCCCCCACAGAGTAAACCGGACTCCCCCTGCCCCCATTTTTTCCTTAAAAATATCAAAATTTAATTCAAAATCAACATGTAAATTTCAATATTAATCCATCAAAAGCATTCATAGGATCCATGCATCGCTTTAATACAAACAAAGGCACTTCCAAAATGTTCAACAGTAACCCATCAAAGTTCACATTACTCGTTTCTCCAATATACCATTTCAGTTCCAGAGTTTCTTGCTAATTGAACATTAAAATTAGCGCTTCGCAGCAACAAAAAAATGTTAACCCTAAAAAAATGCCAAAAGTTGACATTTAATAAGCGAAAAAACTAGCCACGAGGCAGATTTAAAAAACTTGCAAAACCTGGAACACAAATAAGAAATACTATTACGTAGCCAAGAAACAGTAGTCAATATACGAACTCGACTAAGACAATCACAAACCAGTACCCATCTGCGGATAAATCACAAACCAGCGTCTACGAACCCTCAAAAACTCCCGCACCGGTACACGGACCAGTAGCGTGACAGCAGTACAATAACATTCTAAAAAAATTTTTAAAAAAAAAATCCAACCCCATGAAAAAGCACAAAACTAGCGAAAAAATTCACATATCTGCTTTAATAGTAAATGAAAAATAATTAAATAAACACCATAATTTAAAAACCTGTAGTTTTAGAAACCAGATCTTGAATGTAACTACTAAATAGCAAAAGAATAAGACATACTCTGGATATCAGCTTCCAGAGTCAGCGAGCGGGGAGCTTTATAAGGGAGTCCCGAATCTATATGAGAACCCGACCGACTGAAGCAGAACGGCTTCGACGGCAGCTTGATGTGAAGGAGTGAAGCTACAGCAACGGTGAAATGAACCAGAGAAAATGGCTTGCTGTTTATGCAACTGTCCGGGAGAGAGGAAGAGTCCGAGAGAACGCGAGAGACGAGAGTGATTATAGGGTTCTAAGTAATTTTGAATAAATTATATAAATATTTATTCGGGTTTGGGGGAGAGGGTCGGGTAGACGTGGGCTGGGCCGGGCGGGAGAGGGTCGGGTGGACGTGGGCTGGGCCGACCGGGAGAGGAGTTATATCCTTGTCCAATAATTTAAACCCAGCGAAGCGCTATTATGTTGATTAATTTATTAATTAATATATATATATTTAATTAAGATACAATATAATTAATTAGGTCGGTAACAATGCAAATAACTATATTATTTAAATAGTCTTCGATCAGTTTTTAATTCTAATTTTTTTGAACCAAACTTATAGAAAAGCCAAACATTTTAAAAAAAATTTAATAGTATATATTTAATTTTAAAAATATTATGTATATTATATTAGTATATATAGTTATTGGATTAATTAATGTTTTATATATTATATTTAATTATACATGATAACTAACGTGTTATCTGCATTAATATATTTATACTACCCAAAAAATTAGATTAAAAATATATTTAATTTTTTAATTTTAATTTATATTATGAGTATTTTATGTTTCTTTAGATAATTTAAAACTATTAAAATACTTTTTAAAAAAATTATAATTTATTCTCGTATTAAAATATCATCTTATATAAATTATTTATCTATCAAAATGCCATTATTACTAAATACAGATAAGTTAATTGAAGTAAAACGAGAGATATGTAACTTATGTATAATTGAAATTGATAATTTAGATCGAGTTGTTTATAAATTATTACTTTTGTATTGTGTTGTGTATATGTAGCAAATTCTTATTTCATGGGTGGAAAATGATAGCATCAACTCGAGAAGATATTGACAACCTGCACAAAAAAATAGTTAATGCACTACTGACTATTGCTTGGGATGATCGATTTTTTTTAAGAGAATAAAGAAGTTGCAAATTTTATGGTTTCGTTTAGAGGAAGGTTGGGATATAGACAAATTACTAACATGTCGGACTAACTGAGTTTTTATAAACGTGGATGCTCGTGTGACCACATCGTTGCTATACGAACATCAAACTAATGAGATTATCGCGGTCGTTATGAATTAAAACAACATAGATAAAATTTAAAAATATACGACTTATTTTTGTTCTACCATAATTTTGTCTTGGTACAATTAAAATCAAAGGGTAAAAAAAGAATGTATCTTTAAATTTTCACATACAAAAAAATGTGTCTTTAAGTTTTCACAATCTTTCATATTCTCTAATCGAGCCGAGCTTGAAAAAGCCCAGCCCGAATCGCTTTTCCCGAAACGGGGCCGTTTTGGGAAAAGTAAACTAAGGCCTTCCCCAAAATGCAACTGTTCTGAGGGGCAGTCCGTGACGACGACGACGACGACGAGTGCTAACGGGTGATGACGAACATGAAGCGTGGCGTACGGGTTTCTTCGTCAAAGGAATCTGTAATAGGCAGAGGCTCTGATACAGTGACAGTCGTTAGGTTAAGCGGGGATGATGACGATGGTGACTCTATGCAGAGAGAAAATACGAAGCTGATGGACTGCGTGATAGAGCGCGGAGAACATCGTAAAGTGACGAGGACTGTAGAGGGAGAGGCGTTTGGTGGAGTTGCTCGGCTATAAAAACGAGTGAAAATGCATAAGAGACACATGGCTTTTAGAGAGAGGAAAAAATGGTTTTTGGGAAGTAATAAAGAAAGAAGAAGAGACACAGCTTGAAGGGGTTTCCTCTGGTGCTCTATTTTTTGTTGTTGTTGGCTTTCATGCACGTGTAAGAGTGAAGAAGGGAGGGTTAACAAAAAGAAAAAAGAGAGAAACAGAGAGTAGAATGCAGAAAAAGGAGGAAGAAAGTTGAACCCGAAAGGGGAGGGGCAATTTTCTGGCGATGCTTCAATTGTGGTATTAGATTTCTTTTCCTTTATTTGCTTTAGTTTCTCAGTTTGATTCTCTACAAATCGGGACATTATTGGGACTTATTCAATATTGAATTATTTTCCTGATTACATCATGATATTCTGAAATATAAGCCGTCTTTATGTGTGAAAATATAAAACTTATTATAACCATCGACATTTCTAATCAACTGATCCATTTACCGAGAAGAACACTCGTGATTTCATGATAATGAAAACGCCGTTTTTGAAATGGAAGTGCTATTTGGCAATTCTAGTCTGGCACAAGAACATACCATCTTTACAGAAGTATTTTGATATAATGTGAATGTATTAATATACGTATATGTACGTACATATGTGTGTATCATTGGTCCCTCACTATAGTTGCATAATAGTGATAAAAGATGGTCAAAAAAGGAGAAGGAGAAATATAAAGAAAGGAATATTTTGAAGAATAAAGAAGCCGTGTGCAAATCCAGAATCCTTGAAATAGACTTTCCTGTTCTTCTCTTTCTTTTGTCCTTTTGTCCTTTTTTTTTTTTTTTTGGGAGATGGTTTTTGCTGCTAATCTTTAAATGGTAAATGTTTCAAGGGTTGAAATTCTTTTCACCGGACTAGAAAGTTTCTTAGGGTTGAAGTGACTAAATTCCATTAACCCCACACAGATATATATATATATATATGTATATATTGCTGTGTAAAATGTTCCAATAGCTTCTGGAGGGGTCGGCCATGGATAAAGTTCTTACCCTTTTAGACCCATCAACAAAAAAATCTGTATTTACTGTGGAATGTTGGACTACTTTTCGTAGATTTTACTATTTTTACAACGAGATGTTCTCTAAATTAGGTTGCTACAAACTATTTTTTTAATTAGATCATTGAGTTCATTATTTTGATTAAGCTTTTACGCAAAAAATACTACATATATAACAATAAAGTTGAATTGTAAAACATAAAGAATATAATTCTTGTCACCTGGAAGCTAATACCTGTGCAGGGATGACAAACAGGTTAATGCAGTTGGCCTAGATGAATTTAGGTTAACAAAAGTTAGACTGAGAATACGTTGAGCAGTAAAACAAAAGTAACAAAGATAAGATAATCTAAATGGATTATTTACCATGATAGGAAAACAAGTTAAAACCAGGAGTTACTAGCAAAAGAGGAAAGAATTAAAGTGAAGTAAAAAGATGGACGGCAAGGGCAGGCAAATATTTCTCAAGCACAAAAGAATATAAACTGAACAAAATCTTTGGGAATTCACCTTTCAGTATGCCACATGATTGATTTTTCTTCCTCAGTTTATTTGCTTTAATTATATATATATATATATATATATATATATATATATATATATATTTCATTTGTTTGTTTCCAGAGAAAATTTGAAATGTCTTTCTCTAAAAGAACAAAAGTACTCTTCATGGGATTCATTCCGAGTGCTATCAAGTTTATCACAAAAAGCAATTACTAAAAATCATCTGCATTTAAGCCGGACATGGAAGTTATCTAAAATCAGTGTCTCTAAATAAAAAAGAAAGAATATATATATATAGATACGTATAACTAAAATTAGAAAGAAAAGGAAAACATGGGCAAAAAGCAGAGGAGATAGGTTTATAATAGAAACAGATAATAAAGAAGCAACTACGTATCTACTATCTTAACCCTATCCACCAAGGTGATCTTCCTAATGGGAAGAAAAATCTTTAATATTCTCTTTGTTTCGGGGAACATATATCTATATGTCTATGGCATGGTTAAAAGAAAAGATAACGTGAACAATTATATTTTAAGGATTCACAAGCTAGGAAAAGGTCAACTCATAATGGACTTTTAATATTCTTCAGTATTTCTTCAAGAGATTTTCCCTGTTTATTCTTTCAGAACTATATATATATATATATACATATATGTATATAACATTAAGTTCACAGTGTGGACTTTTCATGTTTAGCATTATCAGCCAAGTTGATCTACAGGAGCCTCAACCTCAAAATTTGGGAAGAAAAAGAAAAAGAAAAAGAAAAGTTCATTTTCTAATGGCGCACATAAATTTGCTCAACTTTATCGAATTCTGCGGCAAATTTCAGATAAGGGTTATTGAACAGTTTAATGTGATATACTACAGTATACTAGCTTCCAACTTTCCTGAATAATATATATATATATATATATATATATATTCAGTTCCCACTTGTCAAGTAGCTTCCTTGTATTTCTAATTGCATCTTTTTTTTCGGCCTATATATACACTTTCACTCCATATAATAAGCATATCCCTCAAGGCATAGTGGACAAAACCCTAAACTTACATTAACATTCGACTTCTTTTCTTGTATGAGAAGCAGAAGATCAATGACGACCATTTTTGTCGATCCAAGGCTTAATCTCCAACAAAGTAACAAGATTAACAATCACCAAAACGGAGTTATTGTTGAAGAAATTGAAGGTCTTATCAGAGTTTACAACGATGGACACGTTGAGAGGTCTCCAATTGTCTCTAACGTTCCTTGCACGGCTACATTAAATCATTCTAATGTGACAGCAAGAGATGTTTTTATTGACAAATTCACCAATTTATGGGCGCGTATTTATGTCCCAGATTGCGGAGCCGACAAGCAGCTGATGCCTCTGCTTGTTTATTTTCATGGAGGAGGATTTTGTGTTGGCTCCGCGGCTTGGAGTTGTTACCATGAGTTCTTAGCCAATCTAGCTTCGAAAGCTCGCTGCGTAATCATGTCAATAAACTATCGTTTAGCCCCCGAACATCGGCTTCCTGCTGCCTACGATGATGGTTTCAATGCCCTTATGTGGTTAAAACACCAAGCTCTAAATCATGTCTCTAGTGAAAAATTTTGGTTAAGTAAATGCAATTTCTCTAGCTTATTTTTAGCCGGAGATAGTGCTGGTGCCAATATAGCCTATAACGTAACCATGAAGCTAGGATCCACACATGATATAATCAAACCTTATTATCTCAAGGGCATAATACTGATCCAGCCTTTCTTTGGAGGAGAAACCAGGATGGGATCTGAAAAACACAGCATTCAACCTGTGAATTCAGCTCTTACCTTGTCGACCTCCGACACGTACTGGCGGCTTTCGTTGCCACTAGTGGCTAACCGAGACCATCCGTGGTGTAACCCTCGAGCAAATGGTGTAGCCAAACTGCGTGAATTAAGACTTCCATCGACAATGGTGTGCATATCAGAGATGGATATCCTAAAGGACAGGAATTTAGATTTCTGCAGCTTGTTGATTGGTGCTGGTAAAAGGGTTCAGACGGTGGTGCATAAAGGAGTTGGCCATGCATTTCAGGTTCTCCATAATTCTCAGTTCTCTCAACTTAGGATCCAGGAAATGATGTCTCATCTCAATGCTTTCATCAACCAATAAATGATAATAGGGGATTAATAATGTAATTTGTTCATGTAACTTCATTTTTACATACAAATAAATATATTATATTTGATTTGGAATGCGTATGCATAGTTATATTGTGCTCTCACAAACTATACAATTAAGTAACTAATATTTTTCTTGATTGGATGATCATTCCAGTAGGAACATGCGTTTCCTCATACCATTCTTATGAATTTGTGCTATGACTGATTCTGTATGGTCTAGTTCATAAAGTATTATAAACCAGAAACAAGATATGTTATTTAATATACATATATTGTAAAATATGGATATACAGAATTACTTGATGACCTCATGTTAAAAGATATATAGTATCTAGCTAGATTTGCTTTTGACTGAAGCAATATCGAGATGTATATATATACACACACACACATATACACCTGTCACTTTTTTCTTTGATCAGATATATGTATATATCTTAACCCAAAAAAATATATATATGTGTATATATGTTACTTGGTCGCTCTTAACTTAGAAGCACAGTTCACAGATATACCAGAGGCCAGAGGGTGGTCCATTCAGAGCATATTGGTCCCAAAAAAAATGAATAATTAGAGTATCCCTTTGGTCTTTTGAGCATCTACGAAAAAGGAATGTATCTTTTGATGCAGCAGAATAGTTTATACAGTGAATTTTTATTATTTTCTGATGAGTTATGTATATTTTTTTAATGAATTTATAAAAATAGTTAATTTTTTCCAATATTATAATGGTATAAACAGTCAAAACAATAAATCTTATCAACCCAAACTTTTCTTTTGACAGAAAGCACGAAAGAACATATATATAATATATATATATATATATATATTGTTAAGATTTATATTCTAACTTTTATATTGAGTAGAAATAAGAAATTAATGTTTTTTTTTTAATCTTACGAGTTCTTTTGTAACGACATAAAATTTAATTTGTAGTCATTTTTACTATTTGAACTTCTCGAACTACTGAAAAAATGATACATTTTTCGCTCACAATATTGTCAAACAAATTTTATCTATTTATATCAACGTTTTTAGTTAAATTATAGAAGTTAGATCGGTAAGGCAAAAGCAGATATCAATAAATTATTAGTCTCTTCATGTAACTAGCTTGTCGCCAAATAAAAAAGATAGATGAAGGGATAAGTGCAAAATTTCAAATGAATTTCCTCTTTAGTTATTGTGCGTTATTTAAGAAAGAGAATAGTAATAAGGATTAATAACGAAATTGGAGTTCTTAAATTTAGTTTACTTTATAAAAACAACATAAAATAATAGATAAAGGGATGACTTTGTAAGAGAAGTAGAAAGAGCTTCGGGAGATTTTCAAGTTATTTTTTAACTTTAAAATAAAAAATAATAGAGACAATTATAAAAAAAAATTAATTAAAGAATTAAGACTTGAAACGATAGAAAGATAATAATTTCGGGATTGTGATAGAAATTCATATAATGAATAAATTTTATGAATAGACAACATATAGGTGAGATAATAAAACTTAATAATTAAAGTAATATATCAATTCGGGTAAAATAAATATGAATGTTAATTCAGTTGTTCAATTTTTTTTTATATAAAAAAAGGCTACTGGTTTTGAAGAGAATTGAGAATAAAAGCAAACGAGAAGAAAGAAAAATGAGTTCTAAATTTTATTTATAGACAACATGTACTTACAATCTCTTTAGATTTTTTGAGGCATTGATTTTCAAATCAAGTTGTAAACGTATGCATATTTTATACCAAATATCTAAGATGCTTTATGACTTACTGGAGGCGATGTTATAGATGTTTATTGTTCATCTTTCTTTAGGTCATTACTCTAAGACAATTTGTTCAACGTTCACGTATTAGTAAATTTTATACACTATTAAAATTAAGTTTTGTTTTTCGCGTACCTTTTACATGTGGACATGGGATTAAGAGAAAAATGAGTTCATTTTTTTTTAAACTAAGCGATGCAATCAATTTAAAATAATATAGAGAATTTTTGAACTACAATATAATAAAAAATACTTTTAAAATTGCATTTTATTATGTGACCAAAATTTAAGAACTAACACGTTAGTTTTTCATAAAAAAAGACAATAAAATGTAAAAAAATATATAAATTATAATAAAAATATAATATATAGTTGATAAAATCAACAGAAAATAAATTAAACAATAATTTTTAAATATTTAATTTTTTTTATATATTTTAAATATAAATTATTGGTGAATGTATATTGGCTATTAATAATAAACTATAAAATAACAAAAAAAAAACAAAATTTTTACATAGTGAAAGTGTGTAAAATAAAATATGTAGTTTGTAAATTTGATATAGTAGTAATTTTAAATTAGAATGTTTTTCTATTTAATTTTTAAAAATAAATAATTTTTTGTATAACATAATAAATTTCATTGACTTAATTCTGTTTTTTTGTTTTGAATAAAACTTAGGTTAAATGGTATTTTTAAATTATTATAATTACGTAAAAAATTAAATAATAATTATATATTATTTTTTTTTTAAAAATATAATACATTTATTAAAATTTAATATAATTTATTCAGGGCAACTTTATTACATTATTGAATTAAATTTTCAATACATTAACTATTCAAGGTGATATAAAATTTTAATATGACAAAAATTCAAGTGAAAAATGCAAAAGCGAAAAATAAAATAAAAAAGAAGGCTTCGCAACGGCAAGGCCAGTCTGCGGCCCCAAGGAAGCCGTTGGTGCTTTCCGATCTCAGAAATCGAGATCCATAATCTCGCCTGTTTGGACTCCATGTTTCTCTTAAAACCTAGTTTCAGTTCTTTGGTTTCTTGTTTGATCTTCAAAATCTGTCTCCACTGAACTCGTTTTCTATGTTAATTTCCTCGACATTTTCTTCTTCTTCGTCTCTTCTCCCGTTTAGTTTGTTCCATTCTTCAGTTTAAATGGCAAGGAACTACGTGAGAGAGAATGTGCCGTTATCGCGGTTCGGCGTTTTGGTTGCGCAATTGGAGTCGATAGTCGCCTCCGCATCGCAGCAATCCCCCGATCCTCTTCTCTGCTTCGATCTCCTATCCGATCTTATTTCCGCCATTGATGAAGAGCCCAAGGTCGACACTCACTTACTCACAAATCTCCATTTCTATTTATTTTCTTTCATCTGAAACGTTCAATTCCGTTTTGGTGGTTTAGTTTAGTTGTTTTTTGTTTGGCTTGATAAGAATTGATTAGTTATATATTTTTCAAACTAGTGATGCTTTAACTCGGTGCCGCCTTTACAACTTTGGTTTAGCGGTCGAATTATGTTATGCTATCATGATTTCCTTAACAAGTAGCTTGTTTCTGGAGGGTGTGTTCTTGTGCTTCCTGATGGAAGCTTACACACATATTCTTAGACAGTACAGTTTTGCTTCATTTGATTCAGCGCTGCTTCTGAAAGTTGAGATTGGATGATATGTTACTGATTTGTTTCTTTAAAAAAGCTTTTTGATTATTTCTCTTGTCAGAGGAGAAACTTTTTTTGCTTTTCCTTAGTTTCCAATGGGTTGGTTTGGCTGGTTTTTACTTTCTCAGATATCATGCCTCTTCTATCATCTAGAAACTTTCTGGTGATACAGGAACCCCTTTTATGTGGTTCTCAAAGGAGAACCATTTGGCTTGGAGTTAGTTGATTGGACTTATGAAACTCATTAACAGCCTCCACAAATACTTTTTAACATTTGATCTGAAGTTAATAGAGTTTTAAAATTTATTATATTGTAGGAAGAAGCTTTCTCTTCTACTATTTATGCTCCAGGAGGGAATTATATTTTTCTTGGTTCTGTACATTTTTCCTTAGCAAGGGTAAGTTGTTGACAGTTGATCAAACTTTATATCTCAGGAATCTATTTTGTTGTGGCAAAGGAAATGTGAGGATGCCTTATATTCTCTAATTACTCTTGGTGCTCGGCGTCCTATACGTCATTTGGCCTCATTAGCAATGGCAAGGATAATATCAAAGGGAGATAGCATTTCCATTTACTCTAGAGTGAGCAGTCTCCAAGGGTTCCTTTCTGATGGAAAGCGGAGTGATCCTCAGAGAGTTGCCGGTTAGTCTTAAATTAGATACTTTTTCTCTAGATATTTAGATAATCTTTTCACAAGATATTTTTTTTCACATGCATGC